TATCCCGCTTTACACCTTTAAACCAAATTTCATCAAAATCGGACAAAAATTACTCAAGTTATCGCGTTCACGGACGTATATATATAAGTCTATATATATATATATATATATATATATATATATATATATATATATATATACATATATAAAAATTTGAACGAATGGTGTTTTTGGCCTCTGGGGACATCAAAATGAAAAAGTAAATCGGTCCCGGGTCTAGGTCTTACCGTGCCACCTACGGTAATAGCTACTTCCCTATAGGGAAATTCGCTAAAAACAGAAAGAATTATTTAGGTTAGGTTAGGTTAGGTTAGGTTATGTCGATTAATTTAAATATAACCTTTTACCGATTTGCACAAAAAAAATACGGTACGTAAACTGTTAACTCAGTTAGGTCTTCCGCAACCTTTAGCAACAAAACTAAAAACCCTGAAGCGCCAAATAATGAAATATAAATATAAAATCCTTATTTTCATTACCTCGATTGCGCACAACTCTGTGCACCAGGTTTGCTGGTAATTAATTAAAAGCTATCCACATATGCATAATCTTTTTCCCAAACAAACTGCTAAAAAACTTTTACAACCATCAAATTTACTTACAACTAATTGAAAATCCCCGAATCTTGTGATATTATTTATGAGGGAAAAACTGTATATTCAGGTTTTAAACCGATTACTCACTAAATGGTGCTAGGCAGTTACCATGGATGAAGTATTATATTAATTTTTCTATGCTGTTACATTAATTTATCCCAGATTATTTATACAGATTATTTTATCCAGTATGGATTTTCATGTGTTTGATGAAAATTCAATAAATATAATCAATAATGATGGAGATTAAAATTAAAATTATCATATTGCAGTCAAGCTTAATATTTATTTACCACAAGCCTTTTATAAATCATGTAGTGCGTCCAAAGGGCTATGACTCAGTTCTGAAAACGTTCAATGTTTTCACAGAAATGCAATATCAATTTTCAAAGTTTCCAATAAACAAGTTTTGTGATTTCGTTTATGTTAAACAATAATGTGTATTGACAGTAGTAGTTTCCTGATTTGTAATATTATCTTTCTTGACCTAAATACTTTCCGATACAAAAGAAACCTGGTTAGCTCATGTTTGGCGATTGACTTGTAGTTTGAAATAGACTGAAGTGTATTAATATTTTCAAATCCTTGGGTGAGTATAAAATAGTTCTTACTTTGTATACTCATTTATTTACGTAAAAACCTAGCTCGATTCGAAATGTCATAAAAACTATACTATAAAACAATTTCACAGTTAGTACCTATAATAAATTGTTAACCCAAAAAATACGTCCACATAACTCTAATTCAATGAACTAAAATTATTCTATTCCCAGAGGTCTACTAACAGTACCATTTGTTTGCCAGATGTATTACCCATTACGCCATACACATAATTAGTAAAATTACCCACGCACGAAACCAACTTAAAGTCTTACAGTTGATAAAAAAAACAGGTGATTGGTCTGGAGCAGTTTTGGCGGGGTTTTTCCACGAAGACCTCGGAAGATCCCCGCGGTTTTGTACCACCTACTTCTCAGATGTAGAAGTAGAATGCAAATGATGGGTAGGCTGTCTCGAGGTAGACCTATTATAGTTCTAGTACGACACCGGTTTTGAGTTGTTCTTTTTTTCTGAATAAAAATATGATTTGACAATCCATCAGAACTGGTCAATAAAACTCAAAAGGTCACATGCCAAAAACGTTTGCTCTTTCTTATTTTTGCAAAGTTTATGGTCGGGGTTCGGTTTATCTTTGAGACATCTAAGGGACTATAAAATGACGAGTTTTTGAGCGAGCGGAATCATATTTTAGGAATTTTTGAATAATTTTGCATTGTAAAACATGTTACATGTTTAATATATGGAAAATTATATTAAACCATCATGGTTACACATCGTATTGGTATTGGTAGATGTGCGTGAATGGCAGTGAATAAATAAGTAGGTTTGTTACTGAGATCATCCTGTTTATTAAGCTTAAATTTTATTACAATTCACACTACCCCGGATAGCTGGGTCCAGTTTCGAACTAAAAACATATATGGATGTTGAACCCCCTATACAGGGTGTCCCAGAACTCTCTTCCAATATTTTAGGGCATTATTCCTGAGTAAGAAACATCATATTTAAATTGTCTGGAAGTCCTTAGTTACTCATACAGCCACCATTTTGTTTTTTCACTTATTATTTTTGTATAAAAAGTGGTTTAAGATTAGAAATTGAAACAGCAAAACACATTTAGAACAACTATACAAAGATACAGAAAAATTATGAAAATTTTTCAATTTATAAAACAAAATGGTAGCCATTTTAAACTTTTGTAAAATCAACGGTTTTCGAGTTATTTAATAAACACAATTTAAATAGCCACTATTTTGTTTTATGATTTTGAAATCTCATAATTTTTTTTTTTTTTGTGGCTTTGCCTTGTTATCATAAATGGTTGTACAAAGTTTCAATATCGTATCTTTAACCACTTAAAAAATAATAATAGGTGAAAAATAAAACATGACGGCTGTGTGAGTAACTAAGGACTTCCGAACAATTTAAATATGAAAAATTTATATATGTTTCTCACTAAAATATTGGTAAAGATGAGAAATTATTATTTAGGTGATTTTTTTGCATAATATCCCATCTAAGACTAAACTGACCGACTTGAGAGGACGGAAGAGGACGTTTGAGTCTATGTAAAAGGTGGCCTGAGGTATGACCCGAGGCAGACCGAGTTCTAGCGCAATCTCGTGAAGGACGAAGGAGTCTAGTGGCTCAGGTTCAAGGGCACCAGGACCTCTGGAAGGCTGTCCACCGGGATTGCGCCACTAGGGCCAGGTAGACACCGGCAAAGTGTCACTGCCAAATCTACCCCCCCCCCCAAACGCACCGTTATTGCGCCAATGCGGCATTTTCTTCAAGTTCAGAAAATACTTCAAGTTCAATATTAATTTCTCCCTTCATTGCCGAGTTAGGATAAGTTAGGTTAAATTCCATCGTTTGCCCGATTACCCGGCTACCTGGGGTAGAGTTGGCGCAATCCCGGTGCGTGCAAGACTGACCCTTTTTAACCCCCACAAAACTGGCGCAATCCCGCTCTACCCGCTACGTCGCCAAAATACAGTTTATGGGAGAGGACCAAGTAATAAATAAAGTTCAATAATGCAATATGTATCCATGGGGTGGGCGTCGGAATAAGAAGTTAACGTTTGGAGTTCAGATTTACTTTGAATATTAAAGAATCGAGTAACATTTTACAATTGTATTTGTATTTTAAAGTCGTAGTCAACGTCATTTCATAGGGCAGCAATTTACCAGCATACAACATTTCATGTAGATAAAGTTATAGTTAACAATACGTATATCTTATCGGATGGTGTAGTTGAAAAACTGGGTACATTACACATGGATGAAACCTTCCTAATTCATTTGTGAAAAGTAACGTTTAAATTAAGTGTTTGTAACTGTTACAATAAAGGAATCAACGCCCATAGTAATAACTAATGTCCAAGTAAGTAGGTTTGGCTATATTTAAAGCATCTATTGACATAGTCAGGGTGCAATAATTTGTCACATAATGGGAAGCTTTTAATAACGCAGCCTATTCCAAACACAGTACCGGATTCAACTCCACCTACCAAATTTAAGCAGTTTTTTTTTTTACAAACAAACATATAAAGGCAAATATTTAGGCCTAAACAAATATTTGAAATGTCGTGGTACGCAAAGTCTATCCCTCGTTACTATCGATTTTACAATACAACAACTTGAAATCATTTTACTAACCCTTCCAATGGATTAAACATTGTTCTAAATAAGATAACCCTCGTATTCTTTTCAAAATATCTTAATATATGGTTTTTTAATTAATTTGCAATAAAATACCCGGTAGAAATATACTGCAGCATTCATATACTACCTCAAATAAAATCTTGCATTTAACAGCTATAAATTATATATAATAGCCATAAAGAGGTAATATTTTTTTTTTTATACATTGAAATTGTATTCTTTTTTCTATATGACTTTTATTTTGACATTGGTGACTTTTGTCTATGCATTGTATATATATGTTTATGGACAATAAATGATTTGATTGGTTTGATTGTTTGATATCATAGTACGTTCTACACCAATTCAACATTGAATAATGGGTAAGGTAGAACATGAGAACATAGCACATTGCAATTATTGTGAAATTAAATATGATTAAAATTAATTGTCGGTAATATTATAACCATTGGGCATGACGTTATTCGAGATCGATAATCTGTTACCGTGAACGAAAATAATTGGGTCCTTTACAAGAAAAGTGGTCAAAAGAACGACTTTTTATTTATTTTTTTACGTATTAATTTGTTAAAGGTTTGTTTATTAATAATAAAGGCAAAAACATATATGTAATCTGTTATTACATTGCTAATAGCTTTTGCTGTATAGTACTAATAAATACACACTTAATTTAAATTTATAAGATTTAAAAGACGGTAGCCTAGTAAAGATTATAAAACATAAAACCAAACTTTTTAGTCAGGTGGATTATTGGCAAATGTAAGACAATAATTTAATATAAATAAAGATAATAGTCAAGATTGTTCTAAAATTGTGCATTGAACAGTGTAAATTGCAATTAACTCTTTAAGATAAAAATCCAATTACTTAAATTGATCAATAATTCAACTGTGCTGTGAATTACCAACAGTACTTAGATTCTCCCTCAAATACAATCTATCTATTTATGTTTCGGCATATTATTAAATACAGTGGTTTATTTATTCTAGGTGACATGACGTTTCCTAAGTTAAATGAAAATGTTACATTAAATGTAAAATGCAACATTTCAGACATACAATGTGCCGGCATGAGAACCCGAACCCTTAACACTAACAAAACATATAAAAAACGTTCCTTCCTAAATAAAACTGGTTAAAATAAATAAATATCACTTTTTAAGTTAAATGTTGGACCTACCTCAGCAGAAAACAAGTAGACATAGTCCGGAGCCTAACCCACACCGCATTGACTAAGTACGCCTAACAGCTGACTGCTGATCGAGCGTCTGCTATTGATTCACAGTTGTTGATATTGTCCACCAGGAGCGCTAGTGACGCACGCACACACGCACTCTTTGTAGGCTACTTAGCAAAGTGCAAGTGACAAAGTGACTCGCAACTTCCAAGTCGCCGGTCAGTTCCGTTCTGAAGTTCTGATCTACTTCGGTTTCATTTCCGCGCGCGCAGCCTTCCACAAGGCTGGCAACTTTATGCGGAAATATTTCGAGGGAAACAGCTGATCGCCTGTAGCTCAGTCAGCTGATATGTGTTTTTATTCTCCTATGCATTTGATCCTCGATGATTCTTGAGTGCATTTCCTATAAAGTTGTTTACCTTCGGAAAGGTGTAGTTTAAGTTTTTAGTACCGTATAATTGACACAGCGTGTAATGAATAGTGAATGAGAACTAGAATATTAATTTCCCTGGTCATCAAAGGATTTCCTACGGCATAACAGTATAAGAACTTTTATCTATTGTGGCAAAACGCAAATAATAATAATAATAATAATGATGATAATAATAATGATGATAATAATAATAATAATAATCCAGTGGACCAATAATCCAGTTAACAACATTTATTATAAGTTCACGAAAACTCGAGTATTTAGGTTTGATTTTGATGAAATTTTGCATGAAACTCACATACAACTTAACTTATATTGAGTTTGCAAACCAGCAAGATCGGTTAATATGTAAGTTAATAAGGAAAATTTTCAAAAATTGTTTTTCGAATGTTTACCCTTAAAACATGGAATGGCCCAATTTCTATTACATCCATCGTGTAGAGCTTGAACGAACAATGTTCTACAGTGTAGAATTGTTAGAAATGATAGATGAATTGCCAAAAAAATTGTACATTTAAAATTTCCAGGTTATCTATCTTCTATATAAATAAAATTAGAGTTTTGTCTGTACTTTGCTCAGAATTATATACTTTTAGGTTATTTTTACGTTTTATACATTAAAGAAGCAGAAACGAGTCTTATCTCTATTTCTGTCTGTCTGTCTGTCTGTCTGTCTTTCCCTTTGTCTGTAACACTCAAGATGGCATTTTACGCATTCTTCCCCGTGAAAACCAGAGTACCTATCAAGATCCAAGTCATTTTAATGTATTCACTGGATTGGCGAGAGTGTCTTTAGTGATTTAAATATAGCCTCACTACTTTGTAAATAAAATTACGGAGGTTCAAAAATGCAGTTTTGTGCGATTTTAGTCAAATTTTCGTTCAATTTTTATCACATAATCGTTTATGAAATAACGAACAGCTGTTCGGATCAAGATTATTTTTTCTAGCTGTCAATGATATGTTTACAAATGTTGTTTACAAATACCGCAACCATTTCGAATCACGTTTTGAAAGCAAATTAATCCCAACCAAGTGAGATTAAAAACGTTTTTCTTACATAACGGAATTAATTAATCGCAAGTGCAATAATATAGTCTAATAGTGTAACCGTAAATGAAATTAAATAACTAGACATCGTCCAAATCGGAACCAGAAATTCTTTGAGTATAAAATGTTTCTTGAGTTTTGACAACCAGAAAGAAGACCTTGAATCAGTGTTGTATAGGGCTGGACACTGAAATGATCGTCACCAATAGCTTACAAAAAAGGTTTCCACTCATTGACGGCGCTTCAATGGCGGTTGTGTAAAGTGTAATGTAAAAAATCACAACTGCAGTGGGTGATTGTAACAGAGGTTTAACAGAGGAAGTGCTAAACTCGCTTTTCCAATGTGTCACTTTCTGTTTCTACTCACCGTGTGATGCAATCGCTGGACCATACAGCCAATAGGCCCATAGCTCATATCTTGGGTACGTAAGCCTACACATTTATTCATAACAACCTTTTTGACGACGATCCTTGATACCGGTACTTTTCCATAGAATACATGGCCTACCTACTTAAGAAATATAATTACAAATGACCAAAACCCCAACATTGTGTGATTTTCGTCACATTTCCTTCTAATGTTAATAGAAATACTAATCATTGTTTAGAGAATGCGTAATCTATTAAATAACAAAAAGTTGTTTGGGTAAGGTTGTTTTTTTTTTTCAAACAAAACACTTTTCCGATTCCTTGTAACATCAAACCCAAAAAATCGATATTATAATTTATTTAAGTATTCAATATAAACTGCTGTGAAATATATAATTTTATACTGTTATTTTTAAGTTTTATGTATACTCTTTTATTTTGTGCAGTAGCAAAGTAAGCTGTTTTGTTTCACTGAAGATGTTTATGTCTTCCATTGTACACTTTTATGGAAATAACGTTAATTTTGGTTTATTTATTTATTTTTGCTGCAAATTTGATACATAAGAAATTTCATTGTCAAGGTCGCCAGCCTACTTCCGACATAGAGTAAGAAACAAACCGGTTAGAAACATGAATGCGACTCCAGCTGCTGTCTACACTACTACAACACCATTCATATCAGTGACATGTCAATTCAGTCACACAATCACTTGAATTGAATGTGATTCTAAAATAGTGTGTTACGGTTTGTGTAAGATCAAATTTACAATAAACTTGGTCGACTTTGATTTGTTTAAATCATCTGCCTAACAAGAAACTTCTGTTCCAATATTATTACATTAATATTTACATGTCACTATAGCCTATATAGCCCAAGCTAAGTAAGTTACAGACATAAGTTATTTGTCTCGCATATAATTTCGTGAACATGTAATATTGTGTCAAGTCTTGTATAAAATACCCCCGCCGCAGCAAACCTGCAGACTAAGCGAATTTCCATTTGCCTGATTGGATTTACACTAAAATGTCTAATTAAAAATATAACATTTATTCCCTATTTAAATAGAATTAATTAGTTTAACTAGTACCTACTTAGGTTTGCTGCATCAGGGAGGATAAAACTGTGTGTTTTTTTTTTAATGTTAATAGTTAGTAAGAAATAAAAAACATTTTCCAAATTTGATTAAAATATGTTCATAAACAAGCAAACTACAACAGTTTACTTATTCTCCATAAGAATAACAAGGGAATTTTATTTTTTTTGGGAATTTTCTCCGTAATAATTAGTGTTAATAACGCTTCAATATACTAAATTATTTGTTTTTTTAAGCTCCACAAAATCGTTTTTAAAGAAATTGCTAATTTTATGTTTTTTTGGTTAAAAGCGGGAAAACCCTATTTTTACCCCATATTTTCGTGAACATATAATATTGTTTTGATCGAGTCTTGGATTTAAAAAAATAATTAGAAATTTAAAGATGTCAAAAAGGTGAACAAAGGCCGCTCCTGAGGTGTATTCCTATTGTAGTAGTTTTGGTGGACTTACTAAATAGTTTGCCCTAGCACATTCATAAAGCGTTGCCGCTCTGACACCTAGAAGCATCGGTCCACCCAGTTATTCATCAATTCCTTCTATATTATATACACATCATTAGCGCAATCTTTCCAGCGAGAACCAACTGTTTCTGTCATCAAAAACAAGTTAAGAATATGTTGAAAAACTGAATTCTTTAACGCTCGGTTACTTAAAACTGTAAATAATTTTAAACGTTGTTGTCGATTTTAAAGGTTTTTCTTTTTATTGTATATTTTATAGGTGCAATTTTCAATTGTGATCTATATTACCGACAGACGTAGAGCTTCCAACAGGTGCCTATAGGTAGCGTTTGCTGTATTATTCCAGTACAAAGGTCACCGCATCAGGTGTTGGTGGTTCCATTCCAATGGTTTTTGAATAGCACGCACACTACAGTTAATTCGTTCCGTTGTTAGGCCTACAGCTACAGCAATACTTTGGAAAGCTATTTTTGATGAAATTCGACTATGATGTAAAGGCTTTATATTTTGCTCTGTATATGCTGAACCAATGCTTGGATCTGATAAAAAGTTGTTAAAGTGCAGAATTAATTTTTTTTTAATGTTCTTTTCTATCTTAAACGGGTTACGAGTAAAATCAGTTTCAATTCAAAACTGTGAAATTGACTTTAATTACTAGTGTACATTTTGTTCCATTACACTTTTGACCTATTTTCACTCAAACCCCCTTAACATCCTGTTTTGTTTGTTGTGTCTTTGGACTTTGTGGATATGTTTATTCACTTCTACGAGCTTAATTCCTGAAATTGGTAGGAGGGGTGTTGGTCTTTGGCCCAAAAACCATAAAAGATGTTCAAATACTAAATTTACTAATTCAAAAAACTAACTACCGGTACTAAAAAGGAAAAAGAGTACAAAAATGAACTGTTTACTGTCTAAGGTGGGGAAAGGTAAATGATGTAGCTTATGTATAGTTTTTTTTCCAGTGATTTGTATTTTTATTGTTTTGTACCATATATTTCGGGAAATTTGAACAGCTTGTTTTCTCAAAAGATGTAACATTATTATTTTTTACACTTGGACCATTAATAACCAGTTGGGCATATGTGACGTGGTATAGTTTAGGAGAAGATAAAAAAAGTTAGCCAGCACAAAAACACAACAAAATAATTTTACAAAAATCACAACGCCTAATTTACAGGCTAGGGAAACACTTTACAGATGATGGTCCTCCTCGTTCCTTTGCTGGGTCTGTGTGTCGGATGTCTTGGCCAGCAGCCGAGGCCCCGCCACACTGGCCCCGATGGATCCTAGGGGAGCTGTGATGAGGATGGACAACACTGCGATGGTGAGGAACTCTGACCCTCGCTGGAGGTCGGCCGCAGACGGGTCCACTGACTTACGAGCCATGTCCAAAGCTTGAGGAGCCAGTGCTGCCTGTGGACAAAAAGATATTGGCAAAACTGAACTAATGAACATTTTATTTACCAGTAGGAATGTAAATTAAATATCTTATACTCTTGATAGAACTAGAGTTCTTGTGTTGAAGCTGTAGCAAGTTTTAGAACAAAAACTAGGATACATAGGTAGTTGAATTGAGCCTTTGAAACAGTGAGCTAACGTCAATTTTTTATGAAAATACCCCCGCCGCAGCAAACCTGCCGTCTAAGCGAATTTCCATTTGGCTGAATTGATTTTCAATCGATCTATTTAAATAACATTAGGTTTAACGAGTACCTAGGTTTGCTGCTGCAAGGAAACTAATAAAGTGTGTGTTTTAAGTAAAATAATTGTTGCTTAGTATAAAATGAATATATTTGCCAAGTTAGATCAAAAGATATCCATAAACAAGCAAACTACAACATTTTACAATATTCTCCATAAGAATAACATGGGAATTTTAGATTTACATTTTTTTTATTTTTCTCCGTAACCAATAACCGTACAAAAACACTTTGATATACTGTATTGTTTGTTTTTTTAAGCTCTTTAAGAAGGTTTAGAGGAAAATTGGGAAATTTTTTGTTTTGAGGGTCAAAAATGAGAAAAACCAATTTTTACCCCATAAAACCCCCCATAAAACCCTGTTCCCATGGTCCGATCATGCTGGATCGCGAACTCATTCAAGTTTATTCCGCCTTACACCTTCAAACCAAATTTCATCAAAATCGGATAAAAATTACTCAAGTTATCGTGTTCACGGACACATATATATATATATATATATATATATATATATATATACATATATAAAAATTTGAACGAATGGTGTTTTTGGCCTCTGGGGACATCAAAATGAAAAAGTAAATCGGTCCCGGGCCTAAGTCTTACCATGAGACCTACGGTAATAGCTACTTCCCTATAGGGAAATTCGCTAAAAGGTCTCATCATAGATTGAACATAATTAGTTGTTCTATGAGTTCATCTATTTTTACTTTTGCGACAGTGAGTTAGTAATGAAATGGTCTGTAGTAAAATTCCATGGAAATTTCAGTATGGTTGTTCTTTAATCAATTAAAAAATGCCACTGGTTTAGAAAACACACACAAAATTAAAATATGTATTATACACACGTAGGATCCTGTGGAAATCTAGAACCGAATTTGTATAAATGCTGTCAAGCATTTTCGACTTGTTATCCATTTAATAAGCGTAAAATGAAATTGGATTTGAATCATGTAGGTACTAAATCATGTTCAGAAAAACTATCCAAGCATTTAGGCAATATTTAATTTGTTACCTGGACAGTGGCCTTTGGTAACCACGCTAGGTTAACAAAAACCACCTCCTTGAAGTTGAGTTTCCCTCCGACCAATACCAAGGAACAGGCGAAAACTCGCATCTGAAATTTAAATTGGTTTTAAGATGATTAAAACAATATAATAAAATCTTAAGTTTGCTAAAGTGATCTTTTATGTACGGTTTTGATTTGCTTATGAATCAATAATAATATAAAGTTTGAATGTAAAACAAGGCACCTGTATAAACTTTTGTTTTGATTACTGATTATCAATTTCAGTTGACATTCAGCTTTAGCTCAAAACTAGTGTTTTTCCAACTAATGATTTCTAATGACCAACTTATTCTTTTTACAAGAATGTTGTACTTTTTCACATATTGTACCTACCCTAATGTCTCTCTTAACTAACTATAATATTTCTACCCAAATAAATCTATGCTCAACTAGTTTCTTAATAAAAAATGTTAGGTATTTGGATGGATACTGAGCATTTTACAAAAACACACACTAAAAAATACTTATATGTTAAAGTTGCAGTTTTAGAAAGCATAAATATGTTTTTTTTCAGCAATCCCTGCCTCTCATGTATACAGTAATTACCATAGACAAAAATAATTAAATATAGACCGTCAGCTATGCTGCGGTTACAGGAGCGCCATGTCCGTAGTTACGGCATACATGCTACGTAACTACACGGCGCTCCCAGGAACCTATGGCGGTGTGCGCCATAACTTATGGTAACCACAGCACGGCTGACAGTCTATACATTATCCATACCTAAAGCTTTTAGCGCTAAAGCAATTCAGCTGATTAATATTTTAAGGGGGAGAGTTCCAGCTTTTCTCTAAGCTAGAGTCAAAGGGTTCATGTATAAACACACACAATGTAAAGTGTTTGTTCGGCTATTTTTGTGTACCTTTAAGCCTCGAGACTCTTTTTAGGTAACTAGCTTAATTTTATCACTTAAAAATTCCCTATATTTATTCTTGATTTTACAAAAACAAATTGCTCAAGTACTTACGCACAAACTTACCACCATTATACAACAAAGAATATAGACACCTTAGGGTAACCTTTTTAGGTATTTATATTATGTTATTTAACACATAAGTTGTAATTAATTACACTAATGGAATACCAACCACCAAAGCTGCAGCTATTACTATCAATCCCCAAGTGAGTATTTCTGGTTGTAACAGAGTCAGATCTATCTCGGCTCCGATCAGGGCAAAAAGTACAGGCTGCATCACTTGCCATATCCCAGAGAAGATGTTTTCCACAGGGTTCTATGAAAAAAAAACATGTTGTGAAAAGCAACTTTTATTTGTTCAATTAATTAATCTCTGTTTTGCTTGACATGAAGATTCTAATTGCTCGTACTCGAGTCAATGCAGTTAATATATTTTTTTTTTTACTCATATTAACTGGATTTGAAAGTGATTGAAGTTAAAATGTTCTATATATGTTGTGAATGAGAAAACAATATGTTTTTGTTTCTACATTTATTAAATTAGTAAAGTCGATGATCCCAAGCAGGGATGGAAATGACATATCATGGATTATTATATTATATATATTAGAATGTTAGACTTCCAGAATTAATTAATACCTCACTCAAAGGCAACTCAATACTGTCTGATTAAGACATAAACCTAAACCATTGAATGTGTCTGGAAATTTCAAATTGAATTGTTTCTGGTCAACTCTTATCAAGTAGTAACTACTTTAGTAATATCACAGGCAGGTCAATAAGTACTTATTCCCTTTTCTGTAATAACGTGGGGGGATTTTCAGGAGAAGTCTGGGGGATTAGAGTTTCACTAAATTTTCATCCTCTCCAAAGATACCTCTTTCCCATTACCATTATTTAATGGTTCAAGATGTTCATTGCAGTCTTTAAATATTTGTATGAATAATAAACTTTTAAAAATCTTTCTTCAGCCATCCAACGAGAGGGAGACACGGCCCCATGCCTTCTTACGTAAGACTTTAAGGGAAAATATTTCTTCTCCTGAGGATGATTATTTTAAGGTTATGAATGGAACACTTAAACCTTTGACTAATAGCATAGAAAAAAAATTTAATATAGACCGTCAGCCGTGCTGCGGTTACCATGGTTACCATAGGTTGTGGTACACACCGCTGGGAGCGCCGTGTAGTTTACGTAGCACGTAGGCTAAGCCATAACTACACGGCGCTCCCAGCGGTGTGCGCCAGAACCTATGGTAACTGCAGTACAGCTGACAGTCTATATTTAATTCTTTTTGTCTATGCTAATAGTCAATGGTTAAATTATATCCAAAGACATCCGAGAAAGTAAACATAGTTGAAACATGTCACAAAAATGTCATTGCCTGATGGGAGTTCAGATATTATTCATCGCTTACACTGTCGGCTGCCCACCCCTGCTGAGCCCATACTGTGGAGGCTACGAAGGCCGAGGTGATGGCCACCAGAGGCCCAGCTCCTGGGTAACCAGCGAAGGAACTTCCCAGGACTGCACTCAAACCTCCACACCCGATCAGCACCACTCGCTTCCACACCAGGTAGTCCTGACAACATCGGAAAATTTAAGTAGGAATATTACTTTTCAAATTCATCGCACAAGAAACCATCTTTAATTTTAAACACAACTGTTTTGCTACCCTGCTTCGTAAATGTTAGATGCTCTATCATAAATACGTGTCTGTTGCAAATTTTTATGTTGATACAAAATAGATCATAGATGTTTTTTATGAATAATTGTTTGTACTATAATTGTGATGGAACATGTCTAGAACAATATTTTTAAAAACATAAAATGAACTTCATATAAGGAACCAATAAAAAATGTTGGGTCCAAGAGGGCTTTAAGTTCCTTCAATAGCAATTAATTAAGTTTTTGCAAGTAAATCAACCTAAAAGGAAAAACTTGAACCCCTTTCCTAGCAGATTAGAAATTTAAAATATGCGATATTGAAATGGTTACGTAGTCTTGTTAATGACAAACATTTACTCTAGATACTATTGGCTATTTTCTGAACTTGTATGTTCATTGTGCATAGTGAGCCATCATCAAAGTGAACCATCTTCATTTCTTCATTTCTGTTCGTTTCATCTCACTATATTGTAAAGGTATTTCCAAACTTTCTAAAATCCACCCTTACCTCCATTATGTGAACGTAATGGTGATGATACACAAACTATCTACATATGAGAAGTTAGAAAATAATTTATGATTTTATTCCTTACATCCTCCAGTAGTGGTGTTAGTGCAGAGGTCAGACCCCAGACAGCTCCTACTGTCAGACCAACCATAACATCCAGAGGACCCTGAGATATCTGCCCCACCAAGCTTTCTCCTGGGAACAGAACATGTTTCCGGGGTTTTAGTAAGAATATTTGAATGTATGAATGCGTTTTACTGTAAAAAAAGGAAGCATTCCATTCTCATAAAAATTTAGGGAGTTTTACGATGAAGATCAGTGTGTTTCTCAAGAATTTTAGGAAGAATTCTCTAACACACCTAGAGGCATCTTTTGGTGGTGTCATCAGTTTAAAAACTTTGGAAGTGTGCTAAAATCTAAAAGCAGTTTTATCCCTGGAGTACCTAAATCTTTATTTAGGTACTCCAGGGATAAAACTGCTAGACAACTCCTTTGACAATGTCTAGAGCATAGGCCTCAACAGGTATTAGAGAGTACAGGTTAATACATTTTTTAAAGAGGTTGAGGCTTCTTTTAACCTTGCAATTGCCCGTCCACGTAGACTACAAATCTGTGCGTGGAACGTATCCAGCAAAGCAATGGGTGAGCCGGTACAGTACGAAGGTGAACTGTGCTGATAAAATGTTTGCGGCAGTGACCAGGATCCGAACCAACGACATCGCTGCCTTGGGCCCTAAGTCAGTGACGCTACCAACTGAGCCACTGACTCACCCCACCGTGTACACTTTAGCCAAAATGCCCAAAATGTACATAAAAATGGTGCATCATGTGTAGTTCATAAACTGTCACCAGTGAGTTCTACGACTATCTGCAGTACTATCCTGATAATTAGACATAAGTAAATTACAAGGCAAAAATGCGTTACGGATTCCACTATAAACTGTAGGTCCCTTAGTTGTCGTTGGATGAATGGGCTATTAATTAGCAGTCCTGTCTAAGGAAATATGTTAGCCTTAGTAAGTAACAAGACTACAAGATCGCACCACTCATCCTACATCTCCATTCATACTTGGCTTAAAATACCTACCTCCGTATGGTCGACAATTTACCTGTTGAGAATATAATACTGAGACAGATTGAGAAGACGGATATTGCCAGTACGTCATCTATGCTAGATGCAGCAATGACTAGAGTGGAGATGCCTTTGCTCTCTCCATAGCCTTCCTTCTTCAGTTTGAGTAGTGTGGGGACCACTACAGCTGGGGAAATGGCACACATCAGAAACCTGCAGATGTCAACAAGTGCTGTACTGTATAAATGTTGAAGTATTATTTTACCGTACTTCAAATTATAGCTCATATTTAGATTAAAATATGGTTTAGTTGTAAATTTGCAAAAATTCTTACATTTTTTAATGACTATTTATATCCATGTGGGGTTAATAGCTTTCTTTGCTTATGATGTTAAACACAAATACCTTACAGATGTAAAAGTTGAGTTGAAAATTTGAAATTGCAGTTTTCAGTTATCAATACTTCCATTTAAAACTCAAATTATGTAACATCAGCAATGCATGATGATAATTTAGTCTTAGATATGTACCAATGAACTTGTTGTTGTTCTCATGTAATTATACATGTCAAGACTTTAAGACTTCCTCTCCGCAAGTAAAATTCAGGAGACTCAAGGTAATTTGTGAATTGAAAGTAGTTTTGTCTTTTTCCCTAAAAAGGCTTTCAGTATTCACCCACTACAAAAGGATTCTACAAACAAGCGTTTACTAGCAAATTGTTATGTCAGCTAAGCAAATAACAACCTTATTTGAATGTTTGCTTTAACAAAAGATCAATATTGCCCAAAGCTGGCAAGTGAGTGATGCAGAAGAAGGTGGATTTGAAAAACAGGGTCAGAACTGTTATCTGGGCAGAATGATAAGGATGGGGAAAGAAGGATGGAATTTGGAACATATTAGAATTAAAGCTTTGTCTACAAAATAGTGAAAAATAATAAGGCGGCCGAGGGGAAACTCAAGGGTTTTCCACTCTGTTCATGGAGTTATTCTGGAAGGAGATCCTACAGGATACACAGGGCAAAGAAGAGGTGCTGTTTTTGGTTCATCCCCAGAAGAAAGGGAGGACAGGAATCCCCACATTCACAAGGCATCCCTTAGCAAAATGTTCCCCTCTCGAAAAATAAACAAAAATGTTGTGAGCTATAAATTAAATATATAATGGATTTTTAAGCAATGAATCCCATTAATATGACCAACATAAGAGTGATGGTTTCCATACCCGAGAGCAAACCCCCACAGCCAAGGGTAGCCGAGGAAGTGATGTGTCATGATAGCGACTGTCACAGCTTCAACCAGCCCTGGACACACGGCCAGTCTTATTACTGTGAAGGACAGCTTGCGCAGAGCCACAGGGTCTAGACCAAGACCTGCCTTGATCAGGATAACACCAAGAGAGATCTCCCTGCAAAGTCAATACAAATTTGATATGGTAAGTTAAGTTTTATTTTGGCTTTAAGGAAAGCTGTTTAGCTGTAGAGAACCAATAACTGACGTTGGTGTCTAAATGTATATCAAACCATAGACAAAAAGAATCAAATATAGACTGTCAGCCATGCTGCGGTTACCATAGGTTCTGGCGCACACCACTGGGAGCGTCAAGTAGTTACGTAGCACGTACGCTGTAACTACATGGCGCTCCCAGCGGTGTGCGCCAGAACCTATGGTAACCACAGAACAGCTGACGGTCTATATTTAATTCTTTTTGTCTATGATCAAACCAATGACATTATGAAGATTACCTTAACATTATACTGTATAGAAACAATGGGAAGACTTCTTCAGTATTTATAGTCATTGGTTTTCAATAGTGAAAATAGATTTGTCATAATATTTTTAATTTTGAAACCTGCTTTTGCGTGTTTCATGTTGGTTAGTTTATTTTAGAGTGCTCTGATGTCGAATAAGTTCCTCTTTTGTTTTAGGATAGATTACAAAAGTTCTGCTTAACTGTTTGGTTAGAATACCAGTTAACCAGATACGTATAATTATATAGATATAGATTTATTTGGTTGTAAGAAACAAAAAGTATACTTCAAATTACCCTCTAAAACTAGACGGAATCTATTTTAAAATTGTTCAGCTGATCCATAAAGATGATATTGTAAATCTACGCAGAAGTATGATTGATCTGTTCCATAGTCAATACTATCAGACAACTGTTAATCATTTAGTTTCTAAAGAAAAAAATATTGATTTTGTTTGATGTTCTACTTTGAAAAAAATTCTTTGGTAGACATCCTTTAATTGAGCGTTGCATACTTACAATAGAGTCTCAGTATGTTACAACCTTAAAGTTTCACAAAATAAGTTTTTAAAAAAGTGTGATTTCTATGAATGTTTTATTGAGTAGAATCTAGAAGGAAACAAATCTTCTTACAAAATGTGTTTAATATATCTTTTGGCTGAACAGGTTTTACCTCAAGGTACTGACGATGTTGACGTACACCCCGCTGACACTGTACAGGTTGGCAGTCCGCATAGCGATGCCGGTGATCAGCATGCCTAGGATGGCTGGAAGATGCAGCAGTTCTACCAACTCCCCTACCAGCTGAGCCAGTAGTACCAACACCAGCAGGTTGAACAGGCCACCACCTGGCAGCACCTCCCTTCCGACCAGGACTACCAGCAGCAGCCAGACTACCATCAGCAGTATCACCACTCCTAGCAGTCGCACTAGCAGAGTGTTACCGCAGCCACATTGGTTCACAAATAGCTGACTTAGCCATCCGGGATCACCTGTGCTGGGCAATAGTTGTAAAAATTAAGACGAAAGCTTTGACTATTACAAAAGCATTGACTTTTAGATACTTAAGTAAAACATCCTAACTATTTGGACCAGATGACCAGACACTCATCCTACACTCATACTTGGCTTAAAATACCTACTTTGTACGGTCGCAATTTCATAGAACAGTAACAGTATGTAGCCAATCCAAAAGAAATTTTAGTTGAAAAGCCACTCACAAATGCAAAATGTGTTACTGTCTAGAAATTGAGGTACTTTTATGATCTTTGTTACTGAGATATTTGATGTAACATAAAATACAAGTTTTATATATTTACTAGAATTATACAGTTAACAACAAGTTGTCCTCTTAGTTGTTTTTGTCTGATTTGATAAAAATGTTACAGTATTTGAGTATTTGATCGGAAATTAGTGATTGATATCAACCACCCAGTTCAGGATGAATTTTGCCTTGAGCTGCAAAAAGCCTTTGCACTCCTCATGTCCGTGGGTCTTTGTGGTATGGAATAACCTCAGCGGAGAGGTTGAGATTTTTTTTAATTTAATGCACCTAAAAACAACCTTTAACATTATTTACAGTTGAAATACTGATTGCAATTTATGTATTTCCATACAGTATATATTTATTTTTTGGTAATTTGACACTCCTCAAACTTTAGTGCTATGAGCAGTCGGGGCTATAGAATACATGTATTATATAGCCCTGATGTTCAGTAGTCAAAGTCATATACAAAGAGGGTCCTGTTTTGTTGGTGAATCCAACTAAGTTCATTTTTATTTTAAAACTGACCACATTTGGTCCAGATTGTTCTAGAAATAGTCCAAGAATATTGTGAGTGCAAATCATTACATTCTGCACAGCCTAGAAATGTAGAAATGTATATTAGACAGAATAAAGTGAAAACAGAAAAGTGAAGATAACTGAGAGCTGTGTATTATATTGGAGAAATCGTTGTAAAACTTAGTGGAAAACGGTTGATTGGATGAAAAAAATGTCTATCATCGACTTTTAGAATAATAGTGCAAGACTTGTTTATTTTCTTTTTTAAATATAAAGCATAAATGTCTTCAAATTTCATTCAAGACAGTTGAGTTTGAATGTTCTGATGAAAACTAAGTATTTCTCTACATAAAAAAAATTCATTGATATTTAACATGATTGTAACAGAGTGAAAATATCATAGCAATTAACAGTAGTAAATAAAAATAGTTACAATACCAAACTTGCTAAGCTCACCTACAGTACATTACTAGGTAATTTAAATTACCTCTTCAAAGGGGGAGGTGTGGTTCTGTTGGAGAATTCATTGGGTTCCTGGGAAGTAGGAGCTTGCGGAACATCTGAATCTCCTTCTGTAAAAAAAGCTTTTTTTGTAACTTTAACACCATCAGTTAATAAAACACGATTTGATTGTTAATTAATCATCTTTGTTGAAATCACAGGAGAAATAGTTGACAGATACTAATGAATTAACTTACCACTAAAAAAACAATGAGTAAATTTTCTCTTAATTACTGTTCTAAAAAGTTTGTTTTTAAGCTTATACAGATGATTTTAAAATTGAAAATAAACTAACTGTCCAAGATTGTATTTTTGTCTAGCCAATTTCAAAATTCTAGTTTACACTCACATTCCATAGAACACAAATAGACTACTTTATTATTCGTTGAAACAACTAACATTTTTTCAAAGTATTTACATGTTTTGACAATGGAAGACAAACAATTTCTTTGGCAAGTTTTTCAACGAGTGGATTTGGATAAAAGTGGTTACATAAGCTCTACAGAACTCCAACAATCACTATTAAATGGTTCATGGGAACCGTTCAACCTAGAAACTTGTCGACTCATGATAAAAATGTTTGACAAGGAGAAGAAAGGGATGATTTCGTTCCAGGACTTTGGTGCATTATGGAATTACATCACAGAGTGGCAAAATTGCTTCAGAGGCTTCGACAAGGATAACTCTGGAAGTATCAACAATCATGAACTTCTAACTGCTCTTCAGACTTTTGGGATGAAATTTCCTCTGAAAACAGTCGATGTCATTATAAAACGATTCGAAAAAGGGACCGAGGGGAATATATTCTTGGATGACTTCATTCACTGCTGTGTAATCCTTCAAAATATTACAAACGGATTTAAAAAACTGGACCCATATAATAGAGGGGAGATCAATGTAAAGTATGAAGACTTTGTTGAGTTGATTTTTGAAGCTGGCCTTTGAAGCTGGCCTTTGAAGCTGGAACAAATCAGTTTGTTATTCAAACATGGGGTATGTAAAATAAACTATTGGTGTGTATATGGTAGATATTGTATTTTTAATGACGTTTTTTTAAGTTATAAACATTCACCGGTTATCTTTGTGAGGATATCACCACGCAACTTTAACCTTTTTTTTAATGAGCTGACTATACAATTTATTAACTTATTTCAGTACACCAAATTTATGTTTGGCAGGGGAGATGATAAACAGTTTTTCAAGCGTACCGGTACCCTACACATATTTTTACGTGCCTAATAAAAGCACGCTGTTTTGTGTTGTTTGGTTGTGGGTTTAAGTTTAAGTTTGTTGCTGGTGTGGGAAACTGAGCAATCTATCACAAAAACCGGCAAAAAACTCGCCTCCGAATCGTGTGGAAGGTTTCTCGAGTGCAGCAAAGGCAGTTTGGACTCGTGTTACCTATTATATATTTCATACAGTTATTGTTAAGCATAGAAACAATTTGTCTTTCAAACACTGAACAACACGTTTTAGTTTAAGTTAAATCCAAGCTTTGGACGAAATCGGAAACACTGCAACAGCTGATCGTTGTCGTAGTATCTTTAAGTGTTGCCAACTTATTTTCAATTAAGTACACGTATTACATGCCTAATAAAAGCACGCTGTTTTGTGTTGTTTGGTTGGAATACTGGTGTGCGGTAAAAGTAAGTAAATGCAGCAATTAGCAACTTTCTGTACTATAATCAGTGCAAGGAAGCCAACTTTGTCGGGTGACTGTAGGAAAAAAATTATTATATTATGTACGTAACACGTGTAAGCTAGAAAACAGGTTAGCAATACTTGAAGATACTGTACTTAAGCTTCGATCAGCTGTTGCAGTGTTTATTCGTCATTCCATTTGACCAATTGCAATTCCGTGTTAGCAATATTATTGTCGTTCAACGCTTGCATCCTAATGTAAAACGTGTAGTTTAGTGTTTGAAAGACTAATTATTATTTGGAAGTATTTTTTTTTGCAAATAATGTGAAAGTTGTTATAAATTTGTTGCTGCGTGTTAACATAAATATTACAAACTAAAAATTGTATTCAGATTTTGATTCATTAGGTTCATTAGTTTTGTTGAATTTTACTCAGATGTATATGTTCTAGTTGTGAAACAATTTCATTTGGGTTTTGATTTGTTTGTGAGACAATTAACTTCATTTAGGTTTTAATTTGTACAGTATATTTTTTTTACAGTAACGGTAGTTAAAAATAGCTTATTCAACTTATGTTTTTAAATCAATTTACATGTATATAGGTATATATTATGTTAATACTATACACACAGTCGACACACATAAAACACTTAGTCGACATCAGCACACCCAAAATATTTCCAACTCCCACATGAATCTTCAGTCGATGGTAACACCACGTATTTCTAATAGCCTTCCTTAGCTTTGGATAAACATAGACTTTGAATGTCTGTTGGTAAGTTAAATTTAAATTATTGCTGTGTGGCTTTAACCACAGAGAATAAACCAATTGTTGGTGGTTTATTATCTGTGCTTTAACAAATAATTAAGTGTACACACATGATAAGGTAGAGCCATTCGGAATGGCACCATTTTGCTATTGCAGTACAGCCAACGCTACCTGTAGGCACCTCTGGAAAGCTCCGTCTGTCGGTAATGTAGATCACATCTTAAAATCTCCTAAATAAAATATACAATACGAAGTAAAACCTGTGAAAGTAACAGTTACGTTTAAAAGTATACATAGTCTTAACTTACCCAACGTAAAAATCTGTAGTTTTTCGTCATATTCTTCCTCGATTTTGGTCGTAGAAATTGTTGATTCTCGCTGGAAAGATTGCTCTAATGAAGTGTATATATATAGAAGTAATTGATGAATTACTGGGTGGACCGATGCTTCTAGGTGTCAAAGCGGCAACGCTTTATGAATGTGTTAGGGCAAACCTAGTAAGGACACCAAACCGACTATGGGAATACACCTCAGGAGCGGCCTTTGTTCACCTTTTATAATTTTTTTTTAATTTCTAATATTTCTTTAAAAAAATACTTGTGGAAAGATTGAGTCCTTTCCTTTAATTCACTGTCACTATGCAAAGTCGTATTTAACTAACTACTGTATTTAACACAGACTATGGATATTTTACTTTCTCCCCCTACATAGTATATGGAGAAAGCATTGTTTTCGTCAAACTTTTCGGGTTTGAGTTTTGAGTGGATGTATCCGTTATGGACCCCCTTAACAAAAAAACGTGGTTTTCGAAGTGATGTCTGTCATTCGATTCAAATGATTGTGTGACTGAATTGACATTATGTCGATCTAGATGAATGGTGTTGTAGTGTAGACAGCAGCTGGAGTTGCAGTGTTGTTTCAGGTTTGTTTCTTACTCTATGTCGGAAGTAGGCTGGTAACCTTGACAAAGAAATATCTACCCAACCGGAATCAAGAGTACCAATTTTGCAACTTACTCTTGTTTCCTTCCTGAGTTTTGGTTTTGTAAACAAACTTTCTAATTCCTTTAGGTACTTGCCTTAGGATTGTGTGTTAAAAAGTTTATTGGTTTATGTACATCAACCTTAACTCATGTAATCATCCTTAACTTTAGGGTGACCTAGTTCCAACACAAGATAACATAATATGGTACTTAAGGAATATTATAACTATTTCAGCACACTTGTTGTGGGGGTGTCGTGCCAGACGCGACCCGTGCCACTAGCGACTTACCAATTTCTTCCGTGCCGCTAGCGTAGCGACCCAAGAATTTGGAGCGGGAGGCGAGTTATGAATTAACGCCGATTCAACTCATATTCTTAACAAAAACTAAACAGAATTTCTTTATAAAACCATTAAAACGATTTACTGTCACATTATAGTAGTTTGCGCAACGATTGCGTAAAGATAGAGTTAACGACACGAGTAGAAAATTTAAGGTACGAGCCTTGGCGAGTGCCTTAAAAACTTCTACGAGTGTCGTTAACACTATTTACGCGAGTTGCGTACACTAATTTACCTACGACGGTGTTTTCATTACTAAAAATCACTACTGATAACTTCTAAGAGAGGTTATGTTTACGTTGTCATCCTTTCTCCTATAATACCCCAAATTGGACAGGGGAGCTATTTACAATGGCAGAAGTTAATAATACAAAGCCTGTGACTTATATCTTGAAAGATGAAAATGGTAATATAATCAGGGGAGGATTCTATACAGAGGAGTTGTTAAAGACCAAGTATAAAGACATGTATTTGGTAGAGAAGGTAATTAGGAGAAAGGGTGACTTATTGTATGTCAAATGGGTTGGATTCCCAAGTGGCCAGAATTCATGGATTTCCGCAAAAGATACCATTTCACAGCCCCGCCACTAGAGGCAAGAAGCAGGAGCCCGACCATGGGTCGGGAGCATGCCCGCGACCAGGAGCGCGCCCGCGACCGGGAGCGCGCCATGAGCCGAGAGCGGGTCCGAGTTCACATGCAAACCACACATGATTTTGAGAATGATAAGACAGAAATATAGACAACAACATATCAAACAACTGGAAAGGGAAATGGTAGATGTACTAGTAATTAGACATGGGCGAGGGGGGGAGTTGGCCCAAAAACCTCGTCCCTCAAAAAACGGCACCGACAAACTATACTACTTCGATATGCACATCAAATTAAAAAATGGCAGCCGTCCAAAGATTTAAAATGGCAGATTCAAGAAATCTTTGAACGGCTGCCACCTTTTACTCAATTATCCGTTTGAGTTCAAATTTGAGGCCATACTGGTATTCGATTCCTGTATATTTGAGTTAAAATATACAGGAACAGTTTTCCGCCCACTCTTGGACTTCAGTGTGAAAACTACGTCAATACAATTATAAACAATATGCAAAGCATGGTAAACCTACATTTTTCATAACAAAACTTATTACATTGAAACACCCATGGAATCTTCCAAGGGAGGAGACGTATTCGTGATTAAGGACGATTCACTTAAACTGTTATCACAGGAAACAAATAAATTACATAAAAAGGCGGAATGTCGTGATGATTGTTTAATACTTTGCGTTTGCGAGCGTGCAGCGCGCACGACAACCCGTTTATGTAAATGGCGGTGTGCATGTCGCATTCCCAACAAAGGGACAACTTTAACAAGATAACTTGGATACATTGCCTACGTTAGGTATTGTAATGTAATCTTAACCACCGTAAAAGAACTGTATAAGGTGGTTATGGTTTCCGATGACAACAGATTTTATAGGTTGAAGTATCGGTTGACCTATACAGTACTACTAGATACAGTTGTGAAGAGTTTTAAGCTTATGGGTTGCTTCTTAGTGGTTAGAGGTGTTTATTTGCCTCAGATTAGGGTGACTTGCCCAGTGAATGACCGGTTAAGGTAACAAGTTTTGTTAACTTAACAATGCTCTCAAATGAGAGTATTAATGCTATATATACCTACTTTTTGGTTGATATTTAAGGGTTTGCCCTATATCATAAATTGTTCACGAAAGATCAATTACGCATGTAAGAATTGTTTTTTATACACCAAAGTCCATTAAATGACCGATTTCATGCCAGTGAATAAACGACTTTGGAAGGTTTAGTAAATCACTTATAAAATTAGTAATATACAAAAAGGGAATCGAAGGCCTATATGATAAAAATTTTTGAAAAACTTACGACAGCTACCCTGGCCATACTACTCGACCGAATTACACGCGGTTGGTACCAAATGAAGGATATTTTCCTGTAGATGTGCAGAATCCCTTTATAAATTAAAAAGACTCATAATAAGCACGAAAAAGGAATTTAAAATTAAAAAAAAATTAACATGTGCCTTATGGGTTGCTATGTTGGTGACGAAATAACAACAAAATATAAACAGAAAATCAAAACAAATTAAAGAAATTCCAATCACATGTTTTATTAACAGCGTGGGGCGAAAAAAATAAGTTTGCACAATAAATACTTTTGATCGAGTTTTCGACCACGGGGCGCGCTCTCGTTTATATAGTTTAAAAGTTGTAACATAGTTTAAAAGAAAAAGCCTTATGCTATATAAAAAACATTATCAGAAGTATATCACAATGCTTAACTGTTGGAAAAACGTCTCAAAGTGCCAAAGAGGATATTCGATTGGGATAAATCGTAACTCTGGACTGAATAAAACACCAATCAATAACCATGTCAAGGACAAAATGTTTACTAGTAGAAATAAGTAGGTGACTTCGATAGAGTCCGGTCATACACTAGTTAGGACAAAGAAAATGAATTATAAAATGTAATCTGATATTGATAACTATTTCTTAGTAATTTCTGAGCATTTTGATAGTAAATAATTGTAAATTAGAATCCAAACCCAATTGCTGGAAATTTTGTAATTTTTAATATTACAATGATATTACGCCTCAGACGTAAAAATCTGTTTAGTATGACGGGTAAAAAAGTTGTTACAGTATATTGTTTTAAGTACAGTACGTAGATAGTATGTTTATTCTATGTATAGTCTCTGGACGATAAATGCTATTCTTTATAAATTACGAGTAACATTTTCCGAATTTTCGACATTATGAAAATTAATTGTATTGTCTCATCAATGTAATGCTAATGCAAAAAAACTTGTGAAAGGAACATTTTTTCAAAGATAAATTACGAACAAACATAATTACTCGTCCGAATTCTTCTTTTTGACTATGCTCGACAATTTTGTCGTGGCTACTCCCTCGTATACAAAGAGAATCAAAAATATTTACTTACGCGTCCCCTCGTCGCCAATGTAGAAGGCTCGATTGGCATACATGTTGAACGATGGACACGTTGATTGGCTGTCAAACTTCTTTAACATTGCAGACATTCCTTGGAAACATTTTGTTCAGACAGAACCACATTCTACCAGTTCACACCAGAAAGTGTTAATTCTTCAGTCACATTTCAACTGTTTGCAATCACTACAATAGAAACTGAATAGTCTGCTACGGTTTACAATATCTTTATCTTGTCTGTCGTGTCGGTCTTAAGAAGTATCTTAACACTTCACATTATCTCAAGTAGGTACTAATTCTTTTCGTGTTTGTGTGCCAATGATTAAATGGTACCACATGGATAAGATTTGGGTTGGAATTACATCAATGTTACAAAATGTTAGAAATAAATAGGTTTTTCAAAAGTTTTATGATTTATCAAAGGCCATTTTAGACTACTGTCTGTGGAATGGAACGAAATCGTAAAATAATACAATTTGTCCGTGAGGTTTGTTTTATTTAAACTACACGGTTTTGCGTGCCATTATGACATACAGACTTCAGGGTAGACCTCTGTATCTGTTGGCACAAACAACCGAATGAAAATTCCGATTATTCTATTGTTTCATTCGATATATCGATCGATATTTTCATTAAGTTGTTTGTGCCAACATATACTTAAGTCTACCTCCACTTCATTCATTATAGTAAATATCCATTACTAGTGCACCTGTTTCTCGAATTCGAGCAATTACAAAATGTTGCAGGCGTTATTTCAAAACGAATAACAGTCATAATTTTCGATGACTTTAAAAGACTCAACCAAAAAGATAAATACCCCCGCCGCAGCAAACTTGCCGACTAAGCGAATTTCCATTTGTCTGAATTAATTTTCAGTTAAATATATTTTAATAATTTTAGGTTTAACGAGTACCTAGGTTTGCTGCTACAAGGAAACTAATAAAGTGTGTTTTTGAGTAAAATATTGATAGCTTAGTACAAAATAAATAAATTTGCCAAGTTTGATCAAAATATATCCATAAACAAGCAAACTACAACATTTGACAATATTCTCCATAAGAATAACATGGGAATTTTAAATTTACAATTTTTTTTAAATTTTCTCCGTTACTAATAATCAAACAAAAATACTTTTATATACTAAATTATTTGTTTTTTAAGCTCTTTAAAAAGGTCTAAAGAGAAATCGTGAAATTTTGTGTTTTGAGGGTCAAAAGTGAGAAAAACAAATTTTGACCCCATAAAACCCCCCGTAAAGCCCCGTTCCCATGGTCCGATCGTGCTGGTTCGCGAACTCATTCAAGTTTATCCCGCTTTACACCTTTAAACCAAATTTCATCAAAATCGGACAAAAAATACTCAAGTTGTCGCGTTCACGGACGTATATATATATATATATATATATATATATATATATATATATATATATATATATATATATATATATATATATATACAAGTCTATATATGTATATATATACATATATAAAAATTTAAACGAATGGTGTTTTTGGCCTCTGGGGACATCAAAATGAAAAAGTAAATCGGTCCCGGGTCTAGGTCTTACCGTGCCACCTACGGTAATAGCTACTTCCCTATAGGGAAATTTGCTAATAAATAATCAATTACTCCACACCAGTTATCGAAACTATAAACGAACTGAACTCATTCTGAAAACAAACACTCACTCCACTCCAGTTATCCAAACTGAAAACGAACGCTTTGGTTTGTATCATGTAGGCTATTTACTACGAACAGCTGTAATTATTACAAATTATTCGTCTGTTTAAGTAAACATAATCTTTCCTTCATAAGAAAAACATTGGGATTTTGATGGCCTGTGGGGCAAAGCCCGAGAACTTTTATTGCAGAAATTGGTGAAAGGGGGCGTCTACACAAAAACACTTAATTTTGACACATCGTTTGTAAAAAAATCCGTCCATTATTAACGGAGGAGTATTGTTTCGTAGAAATCGCCTTCCCGTATTATATAAAAGGATAGTCCAGTAAAGTTGTGTTAACGCACAACAACATAATAAATCAAAGGTGTTGATCTTTGCACAAAGTAAGCAGTACATGCATATTATTTACCAAAGCAATTGTTATAGTTTAGTAAAAAACAACTGAAAGTATACATTTAAATCCTTGTACCCCCTAGTAGTGATAGTAGAAAAAGTAGCTCTAGGCACATTTTCTGGCTAGAAAACTACGTGCAGAATCCCTTTATGAATTAAAATATACTCAAAAATAAGTACAACGATTGAATTTTAAATTTAAAAAAATTAACATGGTCCTTATAAGTTGCCATGCTGGTGACGAAACATCAGAATATAAACAGAAAATCAAAACAAATGGAAGAAATTCCAATCACATGTTTTATTTACAGTTTGGGGAGGAAATAGAGAAGTCTGTACATTACATATTTTTGGCCGAGTTTTCGACCACTGGACGACCTCTATAATAGTTATATCTCAATCCATGAATACTCCGTATATTGTGGACGTTTAAAAAATCTCAGCAAATTCGATTATTATTTATATGACGTGGGACTATGGTGGAAGGAAAATACATAGGTGTAATATTCCCGTCTTATGCTGACGTCACCCAGATTGGAAACAAAAAATCAACTGATTGAATTGCCATATAAGTATATACTGTATTTGTTTTGATTTGACTGTTATTTTTTTTTAATTTTTTTAATGGTGAAATCGTGTTTGTAATCCGAGTGACGTCAGCATAATATGACGGGGATAGAACACCTATGTTTTCCATCGACCATGACGTGGGACAATGGTCATGGCTTTAAAACCAGCTGTTCTTAGCCAGCAACTGAGCTATCATTCGTTCAACCAACTATAACCAGTCAAACAAATTCGCCTAGAAATTCCACCCTGATATGAAGGCGCTACAAACTCAATCTCATTAACGGGGACGGTGCCACGGTAAGGTGTTTATGAAAAGAGCAAGACATGTCGGAAGCAGATTTTGATGGGACAATGCGACAAGTTTCATGATTGTATCGACCTCTAGAGGGGGGGGGGGGGGGGTATGTTGCGGGGAGGCAAAATGTTATCGGCATTTTATGTTTGTGTCCGCAAAAGGCATGAGTCGAGTAGACATCCGTAGAGGTAAGCATCTTTGTTGATATTTTTACAATGATTGCTGATAGAAATTTTTACTCAATAAAATATATTAATTATACTACTAATTTTTCTGTAAATATAGGCTTATGGAGAAATATATTTGACAGGTAACAGGTAATATTTATTTCTTGATTTTTGCATAGAAATATCAATTTTTTGTTTGTTTTGGCATTGATCGGTGATTCTTTAGTTTTTAGATAATAGTTTCTGGACCATTACGCATTTTTGCATATTCTAGTAATTTAAACAAAACTTAAGTAGGCTTAAAAACATACGATACCATCCTGTATTTTGTGTGGTTTCGCTCCTTAAATTAATAGGCCTTGAACCATACACTGTTTATGGTTAGTGAACCACCATTTGCTGTTCGAGCTAATTCAGTAAATTAGTCAAAAATGTAAACATGGATGATTGCAAGCAAACCATATCATACCTTTTCAAATATCAACCACCAACGAAATATTGCAGTGTGCATACTTGTATTGTATTACTACTGTGTATGCAAAGTGCATTATACTTACTTTAATGGTTCAACTTTCAGATGGGTCTCCCAATTAAAATTAATTATTGGTGTTGAAACTGATGAATACATATTTTATTAGTTGAAATATTTCGATTGTATACAAAAAATATCTGCATAAAAGTAACCATTGAGTACATTCGATTTCAAAAAGAAGGAAAATGGGGCTACTTTGATTTTCAATGTATTGTTCAGAATACAAACCGTCCGGTCCTATTATCCATGGTTTCTTCGTGATGACCTTACAAAAAAGTATTAAAAAGTATTTCTATGATTGGAAATTTTAGTTGTAATAAAACTTTTTGACCTATTTAGTTAACTGGTTTGGTGAATTGTTTGTGATAATAATATACCGTATTAGTATAAGTTAGAAGATCCTCACAGAAGTTTTAGATTAATATGTCATTAATTGTTATGACAAGGAATGTTGTGAAAAAAATAATTTAAAAAATGTTCGAAAACCTACCTTGTACAAAAATAACCGTACAGTTTAATAGAATTTGATGTCTGGCTGATCGCATCTTCATGTTTTATATATTGACTATCAAATGTTATTACAGTATTTCTTATATTTGACGACTGAGATGTATGCAGTAGTTGTAAAAATACCCCCCTGCAGCAAACCTGCCGACTAAGCGAATTTCCATTTGCCTGGATTGATTTTCAATTAATCTCTTAAATTAAAAATTTTGTTTAACGAGTACCTAGGTTAGCTACTAAAGGGAAATTGATAAAGTGTACTTTTCTTTTTTTAAATATTAATAGCTTATTATAAAATAAATAAATCCGCCAAGTTTGATCAAAATATATCCATAAACAAACCAACTACAACATTTTACAATATTTTCCATAAGAATAACATGGGAATTTTAAATTAACAATTTTTGAATTTTCTCTTTAACCAATCACCGTACAAAAACACTTTGATATACTAAATTATTTGTTTTTTAAGCTCTTTAAAAAGGTCTGGAGAAAAATTGATAAATTTTGTGTTTTAAGGGTAAAAAAATGAGAAAACCCCATTTTTACCCCATAAAAACCCCCGTTAAACCCCGTTTCCATGGTCCGATCATGCTGGTTTGCGAACTCATTCAAGTTTATCCCGCCTACCTTCAAACCAAATTTTATCAAAATCGGACAAGAATTACTCAATTTCTCGTCTTCACTGACACACTAGTGATCTTGATAATTTTTTGAAGTTGTTTATTCACTATTGAATGGTTATCTATACGTGTATTCTTCGTAGTGACTCCATAACTAACTGTTACTGATACAGCTGGTTAGCTGATCGGCTGTCTATAGCTTGCTAAGGAAAATATAAATCACATGAATATATCGCCCTATTATTTTGTCAAATCTATATATTAATTTGAAACTGTTTTTCTTTGTGACAGCTATTTTGAGAGAACGGCTGGGCGTAGAAACTCGGTAGAGGTGTCTAAAGAAAGGTCCTGGTCTGTAGATGAGCCATCAAAAGAGAAACATGGAGAATTCCCTCGGGGCTCTGCCCCAGTGGCCTTTAAATTCCCATCCC